TCCACAAACTAGGTTTCTCATTGAAATTAAACTCGAAATAGGCTCCGCGCCCGTTTATAATTAGGCGATGAGTCTCGAAGTAACGATGAATACATCGTTCTTTTTTTTCTTCTTTTTTGTTTTAATAAATGATTGTAGATGAAATTATTTAATGAATCCGCTAAATTTTTAGTCCACATATGTGCATTAATAGATTACGATTTCGATATGTGCGGTTATGTTAATTACTGTGAAAAAAAAAAAGAAAAAATTATTGATATTTTATTTCGATTTCATTCGAAGCAAAAGAAATAGAAAAACCTATTTGTGGAATCAAATGACGACAGACGTACGCACGCATACATGCATGAAGTATGAAATAATGATAAAGTCATAAGAACTCTAATAAGGATTAAGATATTTTTTCTTTTTTCCAAGAGCCAAGGAGGGCGGGACAACGTAACAAATCTATGTCTCCCGCCAATGCCTAGTTAAAGTGATTTTGTCTGATTTTGTTTGTTAACATAAACTCATTGTCTTTCCTTTTTTTTTTTTTTTTTTTTTGTTTGTTATGGAATTTTTGCATAATGGAATGATTCAAGATGTGAGAAATGAATGCAAGATGATAAGAATGAAAAAGTAGTCTACAAGATAAAAAGTCTTCCAATTACTTTTTAAGTGAAAAACGGAAGCACTTGGAATTTCCTTTCTTCACTTTTTGCATTTTCTCCTTAATGACTCAATATTGGGTATTGTGTGTAAATGAACATTTGGTTACCCTCTTGATAACTGATGAAAGTATTTAATGAAATATGAATTTTTTCCTCCTTTTTTAATAACACTCATGAATAGAAATTAAAAATTTTCTTCGAAATTTTTCAAAATTCGACAACAATTTCTTAATCTTATCCATTAAAATATAGTATAACTGGGTATATATGTCATATCAAATTTTACCGGTTACTAATTGCGGTTTTTATGATTAGTTTGTGCGACGAGCGGTATGATTTGATTTTCATGGCCTTTCGGGTAATTTTCGTTTTCGAGAGAGTTTATGTATTTGTGTGTGTTCGTGCATGTATCGGTTTGTACGTTTGTGTATTGTTCTCGGTTCCGACTGATCTCAAGTATGTAAAATCAACACTTTACCACTTACAAACAATTAACAGAAGTTTGTGCCGTTGTCTATCTTCGCTCAGGCAATAAGTGTCGCCAGCTTTGTAATAACAATCATTGTATTTGTAATAAATTTTTTGATCCTTTCCTTGCAACCTGCTGTGTGTGTGCGCCTAGAGTCGCGCCTTTCGATATACCTTTGAGTTGAAGATATTTGTTGCTTGCTTGCTTATATATACGATTACTATATTGTTATTTTTGTTTTTGTTGTTTTGTTGTTTCATTTATTTTTTTTTACTTTTTCGTAGATAATTTTGGTCACAAAAGAGTGTCTTATGATATTTACCGACTGTCACTTTGTATGTTTTTGATTGTCACTATTTCACAAAATACTTTTTTTTTTTAATTGTTTTATTCTTTTTTAAAATCCTAAAATCAGGACAAATGGTACAAGTGTTCACAAGTGTTACTTTATATATGTTTTAGTATAGCTTTGTGGATGTGATTCCATCGAGGCTGAATTCGGCGCCAAATTAATTACAGGCTCACTTACATGAATTCTTTCCGCTCTCTAGTTTTTTGAGAATATATTATAAAATAAAGTAAGCACACACACACACACACATACACACGCACACAAAAAGTTGTAAGCTACAAATAAAACAATAAGAAATTGACAACCGTGTCCTTCACTGGTATCATATTGTAAAGACATAGGTAACTGGAGTAGACGATAGCTATCTGGGCGCCGTCCACTATATATATATTCTGATTCCGGAGCTAGATCTGCTGTTAGTTTGATATTTCTGGCTTTCACAATTCTTTGTCATAGTTAATGACTCCCATCTCACCGCGATCCGAGTAGTTCCGTTGACTTTAAGAATACTTTCAATTTCTTGTTGAGTTTCTAGTAATCTCCAATACATTTCGCAATCTGGAGGCAATTCTTCCATGGTATAGTTAGCCAAATCAGTGCCATTATTCTTATATAGCGATCGCTTGTTGCAGCCAATCGTCCAAACAAACCGAACAATCTTTCAATGTTAAATTATAAAACCAAATCGTACTATATTTATTTATAAAACGAGTAAAAATTTTAAGATGGGCTATGGTCCACCATTAAAAACCATTTATCACTGCACTTATAACAGTTATTCATTTAACGCTTTTTCAAAATAATACGTTATATAAGAAGTAGTTGAAAGGGCGTTCTGATCCGAATCATTCTCAATAGCGTTCGTCCTTGAGCCAAGAGTAATTTTTTAAAATTTTTTTTATAACGTAACTGTGATATGATTGAACATAAAAAAAAGAAAATTCTGAATTAGTGTTCGTATACATATACATATTTTCAAGATGCATGTATACGTGTAATCCGTAGGTTAATACGAAACTTTGTAAAAAATTTTCATATAACAATTCATGTTATTATACCAATGAATATATGTTGAAATGTAAATTTTCATACAATTTCTATATGTAAGTGTTAAATATATACATAAAACAATAATGAATATTTATAATATGTATTTAATCGCTACTGCAATTCCAAAGAATCGCGTATGTAGCAAAAGTGGAATGTATTGAAGAGGATTAACTTTATTTTTCAATTCTTCGAAAGGCTAAGGTCAGTTAAAAGTATTCGTTATTGAGCCATTGTACGATACGAAATACAAAAGTGATACAAGTTGACCTTCCCGTTTGTTGCATTTACATCGGAATATTTACGATATCATCGGTATAATGAAATAATGCAAAGAAGGGTAAGAAAAGTAAGTAAATAAAAATAAACGAAATAAGAGGTTTGAAGGAAGCAAATTAAAATACTTTAGTAGAGCACGATCCTTCGTTTTATACCTTACACCACCCTACATCGAGTTTTCAAAATAAGGCCTTGTATGGAAGGTAGTGTCTATCAAATTTCATCAAAATATTTCAAAAGTCGTCGCTTGTACGTTGAACACAAGAGAGACAGACGGACAGACAAGCTTAGATAAATGCAAAATGTGATTTCGAATCGATAGGTATAATAAAAGCGGCGTCTATATCAAGTCCTTTGAGCTCTTGCCTACAACCGCACAGTCCTAATATAGCCTTGTATCACAAGTGGTGTAATTGGAAGTATACCCAACACACCATTATTTCAGAATAGATTTTTACTGTTCTAATTTACGAGTGAAGAGCAACAGAATAATTTTTTGGCTTTCCAAAATAGAACTATCCTCGCATTGGGTTATACCGTAAGCGTGTCCCCCGTCTGATTTAGTCGATTTTTATGTATTTGAAACGTATTGAAGCATGTCGTTGTACTAAATTTCATCAAAATATATGAGAAAAGTTGCAAGCTTTAGGCTGAAGTCAGGAGTATATGACGGACAGACGCACAGACTGCGTCAGGCGGTTAGAGAAGCTTAAAAAAAACTGCTTTTTTCTAAAATCTTTAACGATGCTTTCTACGTACCAAGATACTTAATATACCTTTGCACTAGAAGTACCGCCGAGTATAAAAAATTGTTTACAAAAGAAAAATAAATAAATAAATAAATAATAACTTCAAGGTTAATTGTTTTTACCTGCAAGAAAAGCTGATAGCCTAGATCTCGAATTGCAATGGGAGGAAAAGCTAGACGGTGTGTCAAGGAATAATAAATTGATTATGAAATTACAGTAACAAAAATCGCAATTATTGAATCAAAGCAAGAAGGTATAGTTGGATTGAAGGAATGATTATTCGGTTTTCAAGTTCCAAGCCACCATAAATCGAAACATTAGTAAGGAATGCTTTATCGGATCTCGGAACAAGGTATAAAACCATTATTCGTATCTAGCAGCAATAGTTTTGTTTTCCAGCTATAGAAGTGAAGTAGTCTTCGAATCTTTCGATGGGTAGCAACAAATAATTGCTTGAATATTAAACTATAACTGATCAAATGGGAAGATAGGCCACGTTTAGCAGAGACAAAAACTTGGGCTATGCACGATGGAGGCACTTCGGTACGGTGTAGGGTTCTTAAAAATTTCGTTGAGTACAATACATTAAAAATATTGCAGTATAAGAATTAAACGCAATCGTATTATGTCCAATTGGACTGAAGGTCTCTGACAACTTGAAGAATCTTATAAAAGCTGTTTATAAATTGAGAAGCCAACGCTTTTTTTTTTCAAAACATTCACTAATTGTTACATATCGATAAATCTTCATTTAATCAAAGTTAAATATTTTCAAATCGAAACTCAAATTCTTATATGAATTTTTTAATGAAATGAATGTAAACTGATTAAAATTATTAATTAACTAAATTTTATTGAGAATTTAAGCATATTGATTATATGGACATTAAATGGATAGAATTGATTATTTTCCCTATTTTGTTGATTTACTAAAATATAAAAATGGAGGGAGTATTAATATCTAAGTATAGTGAGCCGAGAGAGAGTAACAGAGACAACATAATAAAACTCAGTTATGTATAAAGAGGCAATAAACCAATCCCAATAACGATGCTCTACAAACACAAGTGAGAGTGAGAGAGAAAATGAGAGAATGAAATGAAAAAGATTAAGCAGAATTTTTGTTGTTTTTAATAGAGAAAAACACACACAGAGAGAGAGAGAGAGAGAGAGAGAGAGAGAAGGACAAGATCTTTCTTTTTTTTTTTTTTTTTTTTTTTTTTTTTTTTTTTTTAGATAAGAGATGGCAATGGTATAAGAGAGGAAAGATTCGGTTTCTTGTTAACTAAATGACAGAAGAAAATTTTTTTTAGTTGAGAAGAAGAAGTTGAGAAATAAACTCGAAAGAAGAAGGAAGTGATTATATAACGGATTCTGATTTTTAGTAAAGTTTAACGCATCGCATATTTAACGATATAAAGTTAATGTATGTAAATGATTTAAAACAAAAAACAATGATTACCATGAATGAATTAATAGATTTGAGAATGCAACAACAAATTGCCCATGAAATTTTATATAGACAACAAATAATGCAGCGAATACCAGGTGGGAGAATTGAAGACGTTTTTTAATATGAATTGGTGGATAAAGTAACCGTCGGCTGTTTTTTTATTTATTTATTTATTTATTTTTTTTTTTTAAATTTTTTTTGTTTTCTATTCTAAATAATTGAAATGTATTTAGATCCTTTTGCGCCGTTTATGCCTTTGCATATGATACCGTTGCACGTTGCAATGCCACCTTTGCCGAAATTGCCTGGCAATGTGGAGGTCAAACTGGAAAATAATAATTTATGGCAACAATTTCATAAAATTGGTACCGAAATGATTATCACCAAATGCGGCAGGTAAGCAAAGACGCTTATGGCAAAGTTGTTGCCAGTTTTTCAAAAACAAAAACAAAAGGTGATGTTTATCAAAGCTATCAGTCAATTCTTTTGGCCTCTTTGTTATGATACCTATGAGTATGACAGATTATCTCTGAATAAACATATATGACTGAGATAAGTAATTGTAATGAAGATCGCTTCTGTACATTTTATTATTATTTTCAATAGACGTATGTTTCCCTCAATGCGTGTCTCGTTAAAAGGCCTAGAAGATGAAGCACAATATTGTGTACTAATTGAAATGGTGCCTTTAGGGGATTGCCGTTACAAATTTTCCAGCTCACAATGGGTACCGGCAGGTGGAGCAGAACCGCAATCACCGCAACGCATGTATTTACATCCTGATAGCCCGGCGACCGGTTTACATTGGCAAGCCCAGCCTCTGCTCTTTAATAAAGTCAAATTAACAAACAACACCTTAGATAACAATGGTCATGTAAGCATTGTAAGACTTTTTATGGAGTGAGATGTGAAGTGTGAAAAAAAATCGTATGCTCTTTCTATGATTTCAGATAGTTTTGGCCAGCATGCACAAGTATCAGCCACGTATTCATGTAATATGCACCAGTGATTTGACACAAATTCCTTGGGCACCTCAGCAAGCCTTTGTTTTTCCTGAAACGGAATTCATAGCAGTTACAGCCTATCAGGTCAGTCATATTTAAATGTCAGTAACGCATAGTTGTTGGACTATACTACTACTATAAACCGTAGTTCGATATCGGATCTCTTGTTAGGCGAGGCTTTAGATTTGTCAACATAGTTGATAGCAAAATTTGAATATTTTTTTTTTTTTTCGTTTTGCTGCTTATTAGGGAAGTTTGGAGTCTTGGAACTATAATTTATTTATCGGTTAGTTCAAGGCTCGACTTGTCTTATAGCTTTCACGAGAAAGAAATTGCGAAAATACGCAAATCTTTCATTTTAATTGTGAGCATAACCGTACATAACCTACCATTATTGACGTAATTTCAGTTTGTAAATTGCAAAGCGGACTTGGGAAAGTTGAGCAAAAGTACAGTAAAGTAATGCTTTTAGTGTGTATTTAGAATGTATAGTTGAATGTTTGATGTACATTTTTGGGGGAATTTACGACCATAACACAGGTTTGTGAGAGTTTGGTAAAAGTGTAAATACTGAAGTTTAAAGTTTTCGAAACACGAATTATAGTTTTTTTAAATATACTGACATAGCTTGATTCACAGCTTAATTCAATCGAAAATTTCCAACATCCAAAGAGATTCTTCAGAGATTCGTTATTTAATATATAGTTTTCTGCTTACTTTAGTTTAAACGTAAACGTTGATCAAGCGTATACGATCTAAATTCTTAAACTAGCTCAAAAATTTCAATCTTGTGCACGAATCCAGCTTATGTGTCTTCGAATTGAACTAAAGTTTATGATGTAATTTAAAATTCCAATTATCCTATTCAGGATAATACAGTTCAGTTCGTAAAATTTCGAATTCATATCTTATATGTAGTTTTTTCCATTTACACTTTACCTTTAAAGATTTATCTCAGCCATTTGGAACGGGGTAAAGAATTTGGAAGAACTTGATGAAGTTCGAAAATCTTTTCAATGTCGCAGTAAGTTATTTAATATTCGCTTTTGCTTGTGTTTGTCATAATTTAGATTCCAATTACGTTTCTAACACTTGATCTACGTAGATAAAGCATCGCATTTCGAGATGTGAATCACATTTACCGATGTGCTCTCAAATTCGTAATTACATTGAGGCTACCCTAAGATTTCACACTTACTTTAAGATGTGATATGTCCTCATGTGGCTTTTGATGGGACATACAGTATTTCCTTTAATTCAGGTCTTGAGACACATACACAAACACAAACACAGACACGCATGCCTATATAAATTGAAAATCTCTAAAAGTACGATATGTAACCGAAATTCGAGCTTGTCTTTGATATAAAGTCACAGTCAACTAAAAATATCTCTCTCTCTCTCTATGCAGACTCTTTGAGGTTTTATTGAAATCCTCAAATTAATTAATTACAATTTTGAAAATTTCCATGAAATAATTCATATTCCTCAACGTGTATTTTATATTAATGTTTAGGCGCCAATTAAGATTCTTTACCAAGTTGGAAAGGGAATTTTAACCTTTTTTGTTATTATTGTTCGTTCACGTGTAAGAGTTTTTTTTTATTTTTTTTTATTTTTTTTTAATATGCTCTTCTTCTTCTTTTTCTTTTTCTTATGTTATTTCCTCAGAATGATCGCATAACAAAGCTGAAAATTGATAACAATCCTTTTGCTAAGGGTTTCCGTGAAACTGGACAATCACGTTGCAAGCGTAAAATGTCTCTATCACCCGACCGAAGTGAAGACAATCATCCATCAACCAATAATGCAATGACGTGTACAACAACAGTAATACGAGAAGATGATCAATTGAGTGTGTCGAGCAGTAATAATCAAGATTCATCGCAGACGAAACGTTTACGCAGTCGTAATGATGAGAGAAATCATTTACCGTATATGGAGGTAAACGCTACTGATTTACGTTATGACAGCCGCGCGTATGATGTCAATGTTCCGTGTATAGTGAATAATTTAAATCATTCTGCTGCCATTTTAACGGAGTTAATGCCTTCCGCGTCAACATATTACACACAATTAGGCCAACCTATGCCCGTGTATGGTAATGCAACGCTTCCCCATAGTATCGCCTCTACGCAATTTACACTTAATATGGCCTACAATCGGCCATTGTTAACAGAGCAGTTATTATTCACAGACACGAATGCATCTAGTCAATCATCATCGTCGGTGCAATTAGATGAAATAAGTGCTGTTGATACGTTTGTGGATGTGGTTAGTACATCATCTGAGGAATCACAATCAGGCGTCGATGTCGATGCAAGACAACAGTCCCAACATCAATATCAACAATGTTTTAAGCGTCGGCCATCATATGAGATTCCTGGTATCGCTGCGAAACATGGCAGTTTTAGTATTTCAGCCATATTGGGTGGTAAAGGTGCTTGCAATCGTAGTGATTGCGACAGCACTTGTAATAATCGTAACGTTTGCGATTCCGTTGCAGTTTAGTTAGAGTTTCTTTCATTTTTGTTTTTTTCTTCATAGCTATATGTGATCGAAGTGTAGTTATTGCTGTTGTTGTTCTTTCCATTTTGCTAAAAAAAAAAAAAAAAGAAAAAAGGAGGAGAAAAACTAAATACTCTTCGTTGCAATTTATGTAAAAATTTCTCGATAGTAAGCGTTTTTTTTTTTTAATTATTTTACTTTAATTAATAATTTATAAATTTTTAATAAATAGATAAATAATTTTTAGAATAAATGGTCTTTTTTTTATTTTTTTTTGTTTTTTTTTTAATGGGAAACTTGAAATAATTTTTAATTTATTCTTGAAAAACTACTTGTCAAAGGAACAAATTAATACTTTGGGGAATTAATATAACATATACTATTTGATAGATGTGTGACATTAATATTAACGTCAATATGACGGGTTTGTGATTTCAAGCTCAAAAATTCTGCATTAGGAAGCAGTGGTCTTCAGGGAATACATGTTAGTTTTCAATGGTTTAATGCAGCAGATAAATCTGTCTATTCTTTCTTTCTGGGACACGCCCACTTTCCTATTTCTAAATGTGGTATATTTATTTTTACTAAAACCCATCAATTCGACGGGCGAATCATATTTTGTGAGTCGTTACATTCGCAAAAATAAAGTTGTGGGGCTGAAATGTGTGGCACAAACCCACAACCCCCGATCAATTAGGAATATCACTTTAAAAAATGGGAGTGATCTGTGCCCATGCACGTTCATAATGTGGAAGTAATTTAAAACATTCTCGTGAAACACGGACATCTTTTTCAAATTTTCGTTTCCGAAAAACCGGTACACAAGTATCCGTCAGAACCACCTACCACTTCGGGACCTAAGCGTTTCCGATTCGTTCAGTCATACGTTCACGGGTCATATCGAGTTCTTCTCAACACTACCTGCCGCTATTTGATACCATTAGACTTACGGTCATTCATACAAGTGCTCCCGATTCGTTCAGTCATACGTTCACGGGCCATATCGAGTTCTTTTCAATACTTCCTGCCGCTGTTTGATACCACTAGACTTGCGGTGATTCATATTCAACTTTTTGACGGATATATTAAACAGAAATTCTGAAGGAATTATTTATTTTGTAAGGAACCAAAATCGACCCTCGTTTTGTCGTCACAGGTCCTTCGTCTCTGAGGGGGGGTGTATTAGAGTAAATTAGGATTAAGAGAAAAGAGAAATTGAGTAAAGAGAAATTAGAATAGTTAACTTAAGCCAAAATTCAGTCAAATTAGTAAGTTAGAGTAAAGTAAGTGAGAGGGGATTTGGTCGCAAGGTGAGCGAAGGTGGTGCTAGGTCTTTAGATTAAGAGAAATGAGCTTACCTTGGATAGAAAAGGAAAATTTAATGTAGAAAAAGAAATATTGAAATATAATTTTCTAAGAAAAGAATACTTTGAAGAAATTTCTTGTGAATGGAAGCCTGGAGCCGGTGAGCTATCCCAGCATCAGGTTGTGCGCAAAAATAGTCCTCTGAATTTATAGCTTTTATATATTGATAATATATATTCAATATGTGTTTAAGAGGTAACCTGTACTTTGGATGTACACCGAATGTCCGAATCCATGCATACTTCATCCATTGAATCAAATATATTTAGCTTTATTCGTTTTTTTTTTCATAAAAATTTCCTTTCCGTTGAAAAGATGAATTTCAGTAAAACAAGTTATTTATGGTCAATGATCGTAAATCTAGTAGTAACAAATCGAAGCAGGTACTATTAAAAAGAGCTCGAAACATATTACTGAACCAATTAGGAGCACTGGTCTCATGAACAACCAGATGCATCTGACGAATACTTGTGTGCTTGTTTTATAAAAACAAAAATTTGAAAAAGTTGTCCGTGTTTTACGAGATTGTTTTAGATTTTTCCACATTGTACAAGTGCATATGAACAGATTATTCCCATTTTTTGATCCACATATTCCTAATCGATCAGGGAATCTTTGCACCAAATTTCAGCCTACTATCTTTACTTTTGTGACCGTAACGACGATTCGCAAAATTACCCACCAAATTGACGCGTCTCAGTAAAAATAGATATATAAAAGACGTTTGTTTGTTTGTATAACTTGTCTTAAATAAATTTACCACATAAATCACTTAAGGAAAATTTGCTAAGTAATGCGAATTTATGCGAAAAGTCAAGTTTTAGCAAACTTTTATTTATATACTTTTTTTTTCTTAATACATATGAAATCTATATGTAAATTAGAACAAAGCTTTCCATTTAAGTTGTTTTTACAAAGTATTACATGGTAATGAACATTATAGAACGATTTTATAAGTCTACTATAATACTTTTCTTTGCCACCTTTTTTTTTGGTCATCATCGGAGGGTGGTGGGTATATTCATTTAGTCAAAATGTTTACAACGCCCACAAGGAAGTTTTAGATTCACCACAAAGTACGTATATATATACTTGATCAGCATCAAAATGTGAATGGATTTAAGCCTGCTATCTATCCATCCATCTGTCCGTGTAAAGTCTGCTGTAAACATTTTCCTGGTCACACAAGTAAAGCTATGGCTCTCAGATTTGGGAGAAACATTGGAAATTCTCGCAAGCAGGTTGGTATTGAAAATGGAGAAAATTTGTTTGCGCCTACAGTAATAAATAAATACTAGATCACGCCTATTCAGTATGAAAATTTCACTTTTTTATCAAAATCTTTATAACGCCCAAAAGCAAGCTTCAAAACCTCACGGAGTATAGTACATATGCTTCAACGAAATCAAAATGCGAATGCATCTAAGTGTGTCCGTCTGACCATTTACCTGCTGATGTGTTCTCCGTGGCAAAAAATTTGTGAAATTTGGCAAGAATATTCAAAATGGGCCCATGTCGGACCAAGGGCACGCGCGCTGTACAAGATAAATTGAGCAAATTTCTGCTTTCTGGTTTGTTAAGCACATTAGACACACTTTAGGACATTTCTATACTACCATATATTTTATAGTATGAAAATTAAATTTTTTCGATTTTTAAATCTTTTCTAAGATAAGATAAAATTGGTGTGTACGAGAGATTCGGCCAGAGCCGAATGTAATTTTTTTACTTGTTTTTCTTTTTCTTTAAAAGTAGGAAACAGTTTGCTTCAATTATAATTGTTGAAACCGGCCAAGAATTTATATATTACATGGAGGTTTTGAGTGTTGCTTCTGCTCGTTATAAAGGTTTTGAGAGAAAAAAAAATAAAATTAGGGCACACTATCAAATTGAGTGGACGTGGCCGAATTTTTTCATTTTCTTAGAGATCCTAGAATCCGCCCGTAGACCATACGTACAAAATTTTCGTAGATTAATCCGCTGTAGTTTATGAGTAATAAACCTATAAGACCAATCTTTTTTCCGTTTTGCAAAGCAAAGGTGCTCTCAGTTTACGTGCTACTTTACGCGCGTCCTTCGATCGTTTTGACCCATTTTCAATGGTCGCCTGCGTGCAAGAACTTTCAATATTTCTGCCAAATTTGAAGACGATAGCTTCATTCCTGCCGCCAGGAAAACCTTTACAACAGGCGGACAGTCGGACATACTTAAACTCTGAAGCTTCCCTTTGGCGGTTGCGAACATTTTGACAAAATGAATGTACTACTCATTCTCCAATGATCGGCATGACAATGTAATTGAAAGGTTGGCGAACTGAAAGTGACAAAACAGGCAGAGTGAAAACAAGTGACAATATTTAAGTTGATCATGGCAGTGAATCGACAAGCTTGCATAATGATATCTTCAAATACGACGATATTATAAGAGGGGTGGTTGTAACAACGGTCCGATTCAATTCATTTGCGAATTACTAGTTAATCAAGTTTCATCAAAATATCATTATTTGGAAAGGCGTCAGGCGGGGCGAATGGGTTTTAAACAATTTAACAAAAAATAATTTCGAATCGTTTAGTTTAATGAAAGATGGACCTATCTTAGACTCTCATATATTATATTGATTTATGTATACGCAAGTGATGGACAATATCATAGTTATTTAGCCTTTAATGTATTATTCCTGACGTTTAATATATTTTTTCCTGCGTCTATGTATACTTTGGTTACAATTTTTTTTTTTATTTTTTTTTTTTTTATAAAATCTACGAAAGCATTGTACGGTGAATGTGATTAATGCTCCTGCCTGCAATTTGATGATTCGATGAATAGCTTCGTCGAAAAATGAAAGCTTTCTTTGCTAAACGAATGTTGCCCTCATGTAATTAATTCAACTAATGGACTTTGCAGAAGGTTGTAAAAATTGGCCGAACTGCCTGAACATCTTGTCACATGTCTTGATGGACTTCTCATATACTGATCACAGATGTATTAAAGATTTCAACAAGGAGTCCGGTTTATGCATTCTCCGTATCAAACTTGCGTTACTGGCCTTTCACTTATGGTTTATATGCTAAGCCTTCCTGTTTTGAGATTTGTTAGATTTATTTCGTGCGAAAATGTTTACTATATTATTACATAGTATGTTTATTGCAAGTGAATCTTGTATGTAATCTATGTTAATTCCTGCTAAGCTAGAAGTGCAGGTCGGATAGTATTTGTTGTTTTGCCTCTCAAACAAGCCAAGTTCAAGCTTACTTTACGTTCACGTAAACGAATCCTCCCTTCCCCAGATTTTTTATTCCTGGTCTGCTTTGTTATCGAAATGCTATAGGCTTCCAGGCGATATATTCGGACAAGATTTTCAAGATCATTTATTCCCTAATAAATAAAAAAAAAATTGCAAACCTTTTGTCTTAGAAATTTAAAATGCGATATCTGTAGAAGTATCGCGATATCTGGAAAAAAATCTCTGAAGAAAGTTATGATTAAACTTCTCTCAAGACCTTAATTGACTGAAGAGAACACGATTTTGTTCCGTATCTGTACTGACTACTAAAGGATGTGACAAATCTCAGAGTTTTCCAAGGTAATCACAAAAATACATTTATATATAAATCGCTGTTAAAGTGAATTTATTTATT